CGAGATCCGTGTTATTCAAAGCTTCTTAAAGGTACGTACGAACTAGGCAAAAAAGATGTCTAAAAACTGTGTTTTCCCTGCGTTCGACAAGTTTACGATGGTTGCATACGTTTCCTTTCCCCCATAGTTGCGACGCGTTCAGTATTAGCCCGAGACCACGCTCCGGCATTGACCTCCGAGATGATTCATGGTAGTCACCGGACGATGAATTTATCACCGGGATGCCTGAACGCGGAGATCTTAATACTTTTCAAGCTCGTCTATACAACTGATACCGGCAGTCGCGTTGTGCCCGGCTCACATCGCGTTGTAATTGACGCCGTGTAAATTGATCGGCATCGTTGTGCTGGGCAACGCGTAGTCCGTGTGCCTACTGTCGATGTAGCCGCTCAACATCGTGTGAGGACTGTGAGTGGTCAGCATTGTATGCGTGCTGTGAGTATTGTGTGTGCTGTGCGGTGTGGTGGGCGGTCCCATCGGCGTAGGACTCTGCGAGTTAACCGGCTGAGCGGACTGAGCTGGCGGTGGCGAGGAGTTCACTTCTTGTTTGACCCTTGACTTCAGGCTCGGCCGGTTGTTCGGGTAACCGCGCTTTTTGTACTCGAGCCATAGCGTTCGGTTGTTCACGCCGAACATCCTGGCCGCCTTGCAGAATCCTATGCCGCCGTACCGGACAGCGTCTAACGCTCTGATAAAATTCTCGTCCGCTTGCGGGTTTGTCGATCGTTTCCTTTTAATAGCGGTCTGCGGACTGGCGCACGGGCTCTGGCAATTACTGGGACACTGAACAGACGGTGACGGGCCGCTCGACGACGCGTGCTGCAACGTCCCGTGCGACGAGTTCGGGTAATTCGTCAGGGCGCAACTAGAACCAGTCGTGCTGGTACCGGAGTACTGATCGCTGATGGTCGAGGAAGCTGTTATTTCAGGCGTGGTAAAAGCTGATGACGCTTGGATCGACAGATTCGTTTGACACGAGGACAGAGCGAAACGTGGATATGTGTGCTCCATAATAGTCCATTGCAATCCTGCGGAACAGACCGGTTCATTTTTGGTCAGAGCACAGGAATTAGTTCGGCTGGCTATATATGTATGCTTTCATTAAATGCAACGATAAGTACTAATTAAATGTGTGTTATAGTCATGTATGAGAAGTGTAGGCAGATTAAGAAAATGATCTTGTGGAACGGTTGGAAATATTCTGTGTAGCATAATAAGACGAAGATGTTAAAAATAGTATATATATATATATACACATATGTATATATATATGTATTTGATCATGGTAGACAGAATATCTTTAGAAAGTAATTGACGTACAAGGCAAATCTGTTGTAATTGAATTGCTCTTGGAATTATATTATAGAATTAGAGTAATAACTGTCTAGTCGAAATAAAAAGTAATGCTTTATGCTACTGTGTGTGAGAAAAGAAGGAACAATGCTAAGCTGTAAGCAGAAAAGAGTAGAAAGATATATGTAAAAGTCTGTGAATGTAATGATATATATATGGAAATACTGAGGGCAGAATGTGGCATGGCACAGATACATTTTAAAGCACATTATCTTCCATTTTGGGATATTCAAAAATGTGTATAACTTTGTTGAATTGAAGGACAGAGCAAGGCACACATACACACTTAACAATGTTAAAAGGCCGATTTGACTGTCCTCTGAAGAACATTATACATTGTGTGCTATGTATCTGTGTACCATGATGAATTTCATGAATGAGACTAGCCTTGAAACTTTGCACAACTAATTTTCATTTTTTTTTCCCCGGACTTTCGCTCTATTTTCATGTCAAACGTCTGTTGATTTTCCTTGTGCAGTACATTTAAACGCATCTGTGCCAGCATATAATGTGTGTAAGTTTTGTTTCTTAACATGCAGTTTCAATACCCACCACACTCAGTGTAGATCGCACGTAACTACCAAATTACAAATGTATTTGTGTGAAAGATACATTTCATGCACTGTTTGATACATATTAAAATATTCCTTCTAAAATTTAATAGTGTTCTTACATGGAACTAATAACTTTAAACCTACAGTTGTACGATATATTAACAAAAGTATTGTGTTTCTCATTTTTGAACAATATTTTACACTATTTAACGTGTGATTTATTGCACGTCTTTATATACTGAGTGTCATAAACACTAATGTCATTTCTAATATTACCACTAATGATACAATAATTAAGAATTATAAAAAAGATACGATCTGTTTCAATAATTATATTATAGGTCATGCAGCATAAAAAGAAGAAGCAATAACTTTAATTAATGAAACGTTATCCTTTTTATATGCACTAAATTTTCCTAAACGTATATAAACCCTTTTCTTAGATCATTTTAGAGCTCTGATTAAATTGCTTATAATAACATCAATCTAACTGTATACATAACAGGGAACTTACTTACCTTGATGCGCAGGTGGTTGTGATGAAACTGAACTCTGTGGAACATTTCCTCCTGATTGTTGACTTACATCCTGTATTGAACCATCGCTTTGTGCCGGTGTTGCAGCAGAACTGTTCTCCATATTGCTCATCTAAAATGCATCGCGCCGTGAAACACTCTTCGGTTATTTAAACTTTTAAAGCTATGTTTATATTTAATTTATAAATCAGTAAAAATATGAAAATTGTGTATATACATATACGAATGTATATGCTTACAATTGATATTTGATCTTCATCAATACTGCCTTGCGATTCTGTATTAGTATTTACAGGTCTCCTTAGATTTTCACCAGTTTCTTGTGAGACAATCAAAGGCTCTGGTTTTACAATATTGGTAGCAACTAAAGTGATTTCATTAATCTCTTCTGGTTTATCGCCAGACCCAGATGTTGACCCTGTGGATGATTTTCTTAATCTTTTTCTACGAAATGATGGTGATAGTGGAGATGGACTAGGGGAACAGGATTCTCCACGATCCCCTCCTCCTGTTTCACTACTACCACTTGGCCACTTTGTTAAGGATGCTGTGTGCATTTCCGCTAGCCCCTTTATTTTCAAACTTTCTGCCGTCTATTCAACGAAATACAAACAAATACATTACCAACATTTCCATAAAATAATTACAATTCAAAAACTGTACATACCTTTATGATTGACGGCAACTGATCCTGTGATATGTTTACTTCACCATAATACATAAAATCGACCATGATCTTTAAATCAGAAAATTTTACATCCTTTAATATAACAATCGGATGCTGACACGGATTAACAGTGAACAACGACTGAAAGTATGTACTGCACGCAGACAACACAACTTTGTGTGCTTGAAGTTGTCTGCCTTCGGCAGCCAGTGTCACGTCCACCAGAGTCTCATTGTTCAACAAATTCGAGAACACCGAAATGAAATTCGGCTGATGATTGTTCCACCGCAAACAGAACTGCTGCATCGACATTTCAGTAAACTGGCGAACAACCAGGAACGATAACTATATCTGTAAAACCATTAATCTCATTGTAAATTTCATTCCTTCCATCTTGTAAACAAAATCAGTAAATACCAATGAAACGCTACAAAGACGAACAATGATTCGTGACAAGTGCAACTGTTGTTATCAAAAAAACAATTGTAAACCCCGGTCGGCATACGGCGGCACTTAAACGATGCACGTAAAAGGTGATCTATGTTATTGTTCTAACACGATCGGGACGGTTTTCTCATTGACACAAACTCCAGTCGGATTTGCGTGTTCACCCCACGATCAGGCGGGTTGTCATTCTCAAAAAACGTGCGAACCGCCCGTCAAATCGATGAGACGCGTTGCGTGGTGCGTCTCGGGAGCACGAAAAACAAACGAAAAAATACACGACAATACGGTTACGATCGCTCGGCGCATAACAAATATAGACCTACCACGGGGATGATCAGGGGGAAAGGACAAACGTTGGAATTGCTCACTTGGTTCGTGCGGAGGTCCCCCGATGATTAAAATCACTGTCAAGTAGCACCGACTGAGTTATCGCCAGGCTGTTCCCAGATTCGTCGGTCCGGTCTGTTTTCAATTAGGAAAAACAGAGTTCACTCGCCGCTGCCATGGATCCGACGAAATTTTCCACACAACAGACTCACCAGTGACGCTTGTGTAATTCACAAATGACGTCATAGACGAAAAATGACGAGACCGACGCGACTCACGTCAAACCTTCTCAAAAACTCGTGCCGACGTATGTTTTGACGTATCGCGACGAATTTCTCATGCAATCGACAAATACGAGATCTTATCAACATGCGTCCTTAGAAAATCTAACTTGATCAATATAGCGGCTGGCCGATAGTGACATCTGGCGAGGATCTGTCAACCACGACGCTTATATCTTTCCATGATACTTCTTCTCTCGCAGCAGAGCAATCTTTTTAATACGAGCATTTTGGGCTGCACGTATAACGCGCGATATTAATAAAATCGTTCGTCGTGTAAGTTAATGCTAAAATAGTCGTGGATAACCTCCAAATTGAAACGAACCGTGGTTTATTGAAATTATAAGTACTTTACTTCATCACAAAGATTACATCGTGGATATGTTCGATAATACAATTGGATATGTTCCATTTCACACAGTGCGACGACAAGAATTGCTATTTAATCGATAAAAATTAAATAAATACGTATAAACCTCCATCGTCGAACCCGTTCGGCTCGGGGCAAACGAGGATCGAGAGAATACTGCCATAAACCGAATCCGTCAACGGTTTCTTCATTTTGTACGTGATAGAACTATAAGTGTATACTAATAAATCGATCCAAGAATTTTTACAGATTTGTCCCGTGAAACGTATACTCGCTTATCGTAGAGAAATCAGTGCGTTTTTGGTTCTGCGTTAT